GAGGAACATATATAATCTGGGTGTAGCCTATTCTTGTTCGAAACAAAGATGACTGGTGGATGAAACTATAGTCCATTCAGAGGTGTTGTCTTCTACTTTTACTTCTTGTCTCACTTTGCACTTCTGAATCTACACGATTTTATGGATAAAAAATGTTGAAATTCCAAATGTTGGGATGTTGAATCCAATAATATACTTTCTAGTTATCAGCTCCACCACCTTACATCTGGGTTTTTCTAAGTTGGTGGAATTTTGACCTATTTGATCAAGTTAACATGCTATGGATGAGATATTAGTGTTATTTTTTGTTTTGGTAAAATCATATATATATATAAACCTCCCTTGAAGTTTCGTTTTAACAGAAACCTCCCTTATAATTTTGAAAAAAAAAATCATACGGTTACCTCCCTTCCATCATTGTCCTAGACAAAAACCATTGGCCTAATGTATTAGTTTGTTGAAAATACTCATTTTACCCTTATATCTATTGGTTGAGATGGAGATTTACTAAAACACTCCCAAAAAAACAATTTTTAAATTTTAACTAAAAAAAATCCATAGGTTAGATTAAAAAGAATAAAGTAATTTCATTATGTAAACTCATTATGGTCGAGTGAAGTCTAAAAGGGCAAATATGGCATTTTAATTATATTGAAAGGTGCCTTAGCAAGTAGTAAAGGCATTTTTGTAACTTGAAAGTCCTTATTGTCGAGACAATAATGATTTTTTTTGTAATGAACTGCATGTTTTTTTTTTCAAAGATATAGGGGAGGTTTTGTTAAAATGAAACCTCCCTCAAGGGAGGATTGTATATTTTACCCTTTTTTGTTCTTGAATTTTAGTTATTTCCATCATTAATAATTCTTATTTTTCTCACACATAGTTTTTGTTTAATATGGCAAATATATAATATTAAAGATATGCTTAATTTTTTTTTTTGTAAATTTTATAATGTTTCTATATTTATTTTTATTATTTAGTTTATGACATCACAAGCTGCCTTGTTTGACTAAGAACAAATGTGGTTTCATTTGATTTTTAGAACATTGGTTTTTATTAATGTTTTTTATTTATTGATTAAACCAAACAGTCCTAGTTGACCCGACATCAAACCAATATTTTGAGTCTTTTTATCATAAAATTACTTGCTTGTAAAAAACCATTAGATTGGTCAACAAGATATTGATTTGACTGTCTTAATCATTCTATTATTTTACCTAGTTAGTGGGTCCCAAGTTAGACATTAATTCTCATTTTTTTTTATTTTTATACTCTATTTTAATCATTATTAAAAATATTTTTTATTTATCACATTTATATTCTCAATATGACGAATATATAATATTTGATATGAGCCCATATTTGGTCTAGAGGTTGGAGCATTGATTTGTCATCTAGATAGGAAAATGGTTTCATTTATAGATCAATTTTATATTTTATATTTCATTACATCTTTAATAAAATGAATTATTGTTTGACACACTTATTTTTTTCTATTATGACTAATATATAATATTGTAGATGTGTTTAAATTTGTCTATTTTTTTTTTGAATTTCCTAGTTCTTTGTATTTTTTTATATTTTAAAACTTTATTATTTAGCTATGAAATCATGAATTGGTCCATGTTAACCCAAATGATTGAACCATTGACCCATTACATAGATAGGAAATGGTTTTCAATACTCATCGGTTCTATTTTACCCCAGAATCATTACTTTGCCAAAATCTGTTGATTTGGTCAACAAACTGCTGACTAAGGAAAATAAATCGTTCCACTTGGAAATCAGATCCCTGATCGATTCATTATCTGATTCAGTTTTAAAAACCATAGTTGTAAGAATACCCTTTTCAGTTCTGGTCCAGACAAGACTGACTTCTTTGTCTTCAACAACAGCAGGTCATAATCTCTCCTGTATTATTAATACAAAGATGGGGGCACTTTATGTCCACTGAAAATTCCCCCTTCCCTGCTTAACTTCTCTCTCCTTTCTCCTTTACCCTTTTCACCCTTCTCCTTAATGCCACGTGGCTTCTATTCCCCTTTTCCAAACCACCTATCCAATTTTTTCCTTTTTTTTTTTTGAATTTTCCATTTTTTCTTCCCTTAAAAATGGTGTAATCTAGTTCTTCCTTTACTTCTTACCCAAAAAAAAAAGAAAAGAAAAGAAAAAAACGATTTGAGGGAGGCGTGTGTCTAATGAAAACTTACCCAAAACTATGTAAAAAAGTTTTGAAGCAAAACTTCCCTTTTTAGAGATTATTTTTCGGAGAAAAATCATTCACAAAACCGATTTTTGCGTCTTTTGGGGTTATTAAGAATGAACACGAAAAGCGAATAAAATAAATTAGCCCATATTTATTTGTGCGAGCTGGCTTGCAATCTGTTTGTGTATGGTTTTGAGCTTCAAATGATGGCTTCCAATTAAGTGAGTATTTTCATTCTTTTGTGAAACAAAGGTGCAAAGAGAGGATATTACAATGGCGGATATCAGCCTTTTCATTCTATTTTTTTTACTGTGGCTGATACGAATACGATCAATGCAAAATACAACTTTGTCAATCTCATTTTCAGATGAGGTATATTACTACATACCAGTGAAAATGCTTTTGTTGTTTATATAAGCTGTGTTAATTTCTGCAACACTGTAGATGCATGTTTTAAGTGATTAGTGGATTTGCTTCTGCTCTTAGTTAAAAGTGATTAGTGGTTGTTTCATAATGGCCACCGTCCAAAAACCGATGAAGATCATCACTCTTAGGCCCTCTTTGGTTCGTGAGAATAGAGCGTTGGAATTAGAATGTACTATTCAGATTTTAACTGTTTGATTGGGCGGAATCGGAATCTCATTCTTATTTCTGCTGGAATGACATTCTCCCATTTGAGTGAATGGTCATTCCTTGCCCCTCCCTAAGAATTTAATCCCATTATTGCTGATTTCAATTCCCATTTCCATTCTAGTCTGAACCAAGCAGACTTTGGGACTAGACTACTCTGATTCTGATTCTGATTCGGACTGTGAATCAAACAATACTCTTAGAGTTGTTTTGAAAATGCAGGTCTGACAGAACCCGTTTGCTTGTTTGGACAAAGAAGGAAGTTCAAATGAATCATTTATGACCCAAAAACGATTAATCAGGAAGGGTTTCATACGAGTCCGGATCAGCTGTAGTCTTGAAGCAGTGGGATTCTGCTGTAGACCCAATAACTAGACTTCTTATGTGTGATAAGTTAACAAAATACACCGTTATTATTGAAATAAATATTTATTTACCATTTTTTTTTAAATTTTTTGCACGCCCCGTGATGAAAAATAGTGACTAGAGTGAAAGTTAGGAAGATGATGGTCACAAGGAGATTAAGACTGTCGAGTCCTTCCCCAATATCTGAACATGTTCGACACACAATCTTGTGTGCTCAATATCATATGAGATATATATAAGAAGACTATGGAATTTGTTCTTGGTATGAAAAGAGGCAAAAATCTGTTACTGGTATGAAAATCCTGAATGACAAAATAACACTACATATGATCTTAACACCATTAAGTTTTCTCAAAGCAGGGTGCTGACTTATACTTCCCTACTTTCCCAATCAGATCACATCTATGCCTGAAATCGGAAAGAAATCAAAAGTCTTAGAATAAAACTTGTAGGTTAGGGTTTGGGGATGAAAGAAAGGTTAAGAAAGAGAGAGGGGGAACGTAAAGTTTCAGAAAATGGGTTTTAAAAAACTATTTAAATAATGAAAGAAAGAAAAATCTATGATGCGGAAAAGATATGATATTAAAAGAGTTTTGACCAATCAAAACCCAACCATGAATTTTGATAAATAACACCTGATTGGCTACCACATTTGATTCCAGTTGAATGATCAAAAGTTTTTCAGATATTATATCTTTTTCATATCATAGTTGAAATTTGAACTTATTTCAGCTCATATCTTTTCCAGAAAGGAAACAATAACAGTTAAAAATTAGTTCAAATTTTGAGCTGCTTGAATAAGTGTTTATTTTCAAGCATAAGACAAATAAATGCCGTGGTCCTGACTAACAATAAGTGTTTATTTGAATAAACACTTACAAAAAATAAAACACTCCCAAACATGGGCTAATCTGGGCCAGATTGGGTTTTCTGGGCTTAAGGTTTTAAATACTGAGCCTTAACCACATTATGTGCAGACTTGATACAGGACCAGAGAGAGGCGGACTTGGTCCATTTGGGTGAAAAAACTTCTGTCATCACTCACCAACCAGGCTCGAATTCATCCAATTTCAGTCTTTTCATCTGATCTTGTTGGTATCTCGTTCATACCCAATTTCCCAATTCCCAGTCTTTAACATCATGTTTGAGATAAGATTGTGAGACTGTGTATGTGAGTAGCATTTTGATTGGAGGCCATCATGGAAGAATCCGGATTTGCTGACCATAATATATTGCTGGCTACGTTCATCCAGCCACGCCACGCACCAGAAATATCGGTGATAAATAGTACAAGAGATGTTCTCAAATCTGAATGTCTCAATGTGCGGTTAGATTAACATGACCAGCAATGTGTTGTGGTCAGCAAGGTGCATTGGCTTGTGCTCGACTCCACGACGGTGATTTGTATCGTTCCCCTCAATGGAATTGGAGCTCCTGATGTCAGTGTTGGTATTAGGAGGAGGTTTGTTGGGCAGAGGAATCATCTAGAAACTATGAACTTGTAGTGGTAACTGCTGGTGGAAAATCCAGCAGACATTACCTCCATCCATCCCCATGTTCTCAGCAACAGCAAGTTGGCCAAGACACAAGTTACAGAATGATCCATGACCAAGAGGGCTATTTCGTGGCAGCTCCCAAGCGTGTTCCACTTGACAATGTACATAGATAGATCAGTTAATTCGGCTAATAGTAAATGACTTGACTACAAAAGAATCCAAACCACAGGATTTAAATTACATTATCATCATCAACAACATAGAAGTCTGGATCTTTGTTAATTCGGCTAATATTAAATGACTTGACTACAAAAGAATCCAAACCACAGGATTTAAATTAGATCATCATCATCATCATCAACATAGATACATAGATCAGTTTTATCAAGAATTGGAACAAAACAAATTATATAAAGAAAAAAAAAGGACAAGGAAATTCTGTTTCTCTCTAATTTCACATGACATCACATACAACAGTGGGAATAAGCAAATGCTCTTCCAATTCGGTTATAAACACCCAAAGGGTTTACCTTCCACCACTTTTCAGAGTGGGAAAAAAAACAGATTTTGTCTTCATTGGAATAGGCTTTATCTTTTCCCCTTGAGAAGAATTCTAAGAGGTGCAACGACTTGTTGAGATTTTTTCTTTTCTGTTAATATTATTCTTCCAAATCATCACCCAACTGGTGTCCTGCATCTGTGCTTTTGGCTGCAGCCTGCTTCTTACTCTTCTTGTTCTTGGCCTTCTTGGCCTTCATCCGCCGCTTCCTCTCATTGGAGTCAACCCAAGAATAGTCTGACGGTATGTGGAACGGATCAATCTCATCCCTAAAGCAACGGCTTTCACTGTCACTTGATTGCCCACCACGACTTCCCTTCATCCATGAAATCCATGATGTTGATCCCTCTGATTCCTTGGGTTTGGCATCCTGGAAGTGTGCTGGGCTGGAGAGAGGAGTTGAGAATTCCTCTGTTGGCTGGAGCTCTTCAAATTTTGTGAAAGTTACAAGGACACGAATAGTTGGAACAATAGGGATTGCAACCTGCAATAAACCAAAGAAACATATATAACTTCTCGTGTATATGAAGATGTTCCATACCAGTTCATCAATCAGTAATAACAACAAAGAGATTTTATTATATATGACAAAAATAATACAACCACCAAAATCCAAAAGGTCTGGATGAGGAGAATACAAAACCCATTGATGGTACCAACATAAAACAGCAAACAACAGACATGAAGAGTAACATTATTACAACTATTACCCCTAAATAGCTGTCGTGCCCCCAAAGGCCCAAATAAGTCCAACCGTCTAATCTCTTGCTAAGCTGTTACAATTAGTACCAATATACAATATCAAATAACAGACATGGAGTAACAAGATTGCAACCATTACTCCTGAGCTGCACTAAAACAAAGTCAACCTCTGCACCCCTCTCTTGATGAGCTGTCTGCACCCTGCACGAGGGTAGCAGATCAACTGGGCGTTCATATGAAGAAGTTGTCCATTTAGATACTAAATATCTATCAGTACAGTGAGGAAGGATCCAAGAGTTGTCCATGGTTGAAAACATCCACCTGATCACTATCCATGAGTCACTTTCACCCTACAAATTATCCAATAAATGGCATGATTTGAGTTTACCCTGCTCATGCCCTCTGGCAAACATCAGATATCAAATCCGGAATGCTCACTCAGTCATGGTTTTACCAGTTAACCAAGTCATTAGCTCATTCTGACTGAAAACTGTCAATTAAGTGGGACCCTGATAGGTCACTAGGACACCAGTTAAAACATCCAGTCCAGTCCGAATAACACTGATTTAGAACTTTCTCCTAGTAAGTTAATAATCAAACATTAAGTTTTAGAATCACCATTATCAGGCTCACTTAAGTCAGGTTCCCTAGTATTCCAGATATTATTTTCTCCCTTTGTGGATACATATAAATTCTCTTCTTTTCCAAGTATTAAATAAGGTGTAGCTTCAAGTACATAAGATTCATTACACTCACATTCCAAGTAAAAACCCTAAGCCAACTCCTTACAAAGCATTCTATGATATCTCCCGCACCCTAAGTACTAACTCCTTATATGTCCCTTACATAAACATCTTTTGTCAATATGGATTGTCAGTACAAAATTCGGGCAAACAAAGTTGAAATCTGTGTTTAGTTTGGCAGAGTTTCAAATTAAGTCACTGTTGGACCCTATGAAATTAATCGCAAGCAGAAAAAAATCTTAATATGAACCATGGAGAGGAGAATTGCCGAATTGGTTTTGTTATAGTAGAAGCTTTGGGTAGGCCAACAAGGACAGTTGAGAGGGACAACTAAAACATGCATCTTAAGTTTAACAACAAACCAGCATACATACTACCAGAAGATAGTATTAAAAAACCAACATCTAAAGTTTAACAATCCAAAAGGAAGTTTTTTAAAAGAAAAAAACAGGAAAAAAAACATAAATGCAAGATAAGAATCTAAATCTTCTATTATTTCAATACATAGTACAGGCAACAAATCTTGCAGCCTTGCATGACAACAAAGTCATGCAGTCATAGTAGCTACCATAACAAGCCCCAAGAACTGCACTGATTTGGTAATCTAACAATCTAAACATCAACAAAATCCACAAAAAGAGAGAAAAGAAAAGCATATTGGTAGGTGGATGAGTATAATGAACTACTTGAGATGGTTTTGAGGCCCGGGTTCATCTAAAATGCAGGTTATCTTGAGCTGTCAATTTACCTAATTACCCATTCAACAGATAACAATTAACCACACGTTTTAAGTTAATAGACTCACACATAAACAAGCTACAAATTGTATAGAAGAACAATTTGGGCCCATTTGATAAAGAAAACTGGTACAGTCAAAGTTAAAATGTTAAAGCAAAGCTGAAAGTGAGAAATGCATTTTTATACAGATTCAATAATCAGCACTACTGACAATGATCACAAGGAGAGAAATCAATAACATAGTTGCAAAATGAAGGAAAATATTAAGAACCTTCAATCACTGTCTAGATAATTGGTTTTTACTTTTACCATGAATGGAATACAAGGAAATATCCAAATACCCAAGTGTGTCATCTAAAGTCAATGTCATATAGAAATTTATGGTTCAATCCACTTCATAAATTTTTATTGGTTTTTTATTTTATTTACCAACAACTCCACTTATGATTCACTACCCCCTTGAACTTTGATTCATTCCCCACTTGGAACTGTTCCAACTGTACAAACCAATAAGAGTTTATGAGGTGGACTGAACAAGAAAAACCCCCAATTCATTAGAGGTTTGCACACCTAAGTAGATATTAACTTACTAGATTTGCCCTAAAAGAAAAAATCAAAGCACCTACTCTACAATGTCTTGCGCCAAATAGATGTATACCAACACCGTTGGAGAAAAACCAGAAAAATGAAACAAGTGGATCATGAGTCAATACAGTATCTTATTTTTTTGATAATTAGTCATAATAGATTCTTATGTAGTTCAAGGTTACAAACTCTAGCAATATCTTTACATTCAGACCCAGACCCAGACTCAACCTGAACCTGATGCAGTATTGCTGTACCATTTACCTTTAAAATTTGTCCATGCTCAAGGGATCTTCTCTGCAGATCCATAGAATATCCTGGTTATTCAGGGTTTTGGTAGGGGTAGACTGGATACAGACCTAACCTTTGGAATTTTCTTTGCACAAAGCGGCTGCTTCCAGACTCAAACCACACTCTTACACTTGTCAGCCCAAGATTTTATCATTGCACCAAGTGCCCATACCTATTAATAATGCTGGCAGTGCTTCATGTTGAAGAGTGTTGACAAATCAAGAAAGAGCACAAATACATAACCATAGAAAAAGCATAACAGTAATTAGTATGTTGTGAGAGATGAATGACAATACTAGGAGGAGTAAAGGGAAAAAATGAATGCCAATGGATGTAGGGGTAGTACCAAGAGTGACGAGACAATAGAAAATTTATTGAGATCGTATGGTCATATGAAAGAAATACCAATGGATGCTCCAGTTAAAAGAGACATTAGCTATTGTTAACCATGGGATGTCCATACTGGCAGGAGCCTAAAATCTAGTAAGCAAAAGGATTAAGCAAGGTCCTGCAATTTACAAGTGATTAAATTGCAATGTTGTTTACTGGTATACCCATGTGGGCTCCAAACCAATGAAAAAAAAAAAAAGACAAAGGAAGAAGGGGAAAATCATATGCTCAACCTTTCACTCAAAAAGACAGTTTGCCAGACATGAAGTGGGAGAATAGCATCAATATGCTATTCTAAGCTTTTTCCCTTTATTGCAATTCCTTCATCTATCAGTTGGCAAGCGGTTTGAAATTATTATTGTTATTAATTTTTTTTTTTTGTGTGCGTGTGTGAAGGGGGGGGGGGCTGTTCCTTCACATATTGTAATTGATCTCATAAGAGATTGATCTAGAAGCCAATGCAGAGCTACCAGTTGATAGAGGTGTGGTTTGTGACAGCCACATTGAACCCTTATTTAGATTGGTTTAGAGATCAGCCAATTCAGTTGCTGACAACCTGGTGAAGAAGGTATTGGCAAGGATCCAGTTATTTTTGGCCTCATTCTTATCAAGTTACATTGTAACATATGTTTCCACTGAGAGCCCTGAAGGGCTATAGTTTTTCAGGTTACTTCCTATCTCACACAATATTTTGAGCAAGGGTAGCAGAGATTTCACTTAAAAAACAGAGCAATATATGGTTTGTAAACAAGCAACAGAAAGGAGAAAGCAAAGACAGGAAAAAAGAAAAACAAGATAACAAGGCAGCCCAACCAAGAAAGAAAAGTGCAGAATAAAGCTAATATAGAGTTAATAAAACAAAAAACTAATGTTAGAAGAAGATCAACCCCAGAGGCCAGAGCCAGAGGGAAATAATTCCAGGGGTAATGCCATACTTTCTGTCAAAAAGAAAAATAGAACTAAGGTAAATCAAGAGTTGGATGTGACAGAAAAGAATTTGAGGCTTTGAGCTAGAGTTCTTACAATTGACACAAAAAAACAGTTTGAGTATATGTAATGAATCGGAATCATAATAGAAACAGATAAGGATAAAAAAACAACAGAAATCATTAAACTAAAAGACTGATCAACTTAATTGCCAAAAGGAGTATTGAACAATGATAAAATCCCATGTGGTCAATAAGTAATATACAAACATGAAAACATTATAAAAAGAACTAAGTTGTAATTAATAACCCAAAATAACTGCCAAATAACTAAGGTATTATAATACAAATCAGAAAAATTGAAACCAATTAACATAGAAAATCACAAGGAAAGCAGATCATAATAGAATTTAAAACTCATTTAAAAAAATTTACCAAAAAAATGTGAAAGAAAAGGTGAGTTTCAGTGATAACTCTTGCTAGGGACAGGATGAGGATTAACTGATTGTTCAAAAGAAAAACTAAACACAGTTAAATAGAGCTGAAAAGAACAAGGATATAAAACAGAGAATGAAGTATGCGTATGAATCTGTCTGACAAGCTTGTATTACAATGATAAGATGGAATTTGCATATTAAATTTCAGTCATTTATGGGTTCATGAAACAAATAATTCCGCCCAGAACAACTACCAGAGTATCATAAGCATGGATAAACAGCTAGACATAAGAGATGAATTGGTAAAAAAAAAGGTTATTGTTGGACAAGATCAAAGATGCAAGAGAAAATATATACCTTGACAGGAAAGGTGCCATGAGGTAGTTTAGTAGTCAGAAGCTCTCTGAGTCTCCTAACAGCTTTAACTTTGTTTGCTAAAATGTCAAGTAGGGGTAAGAATTCATCTGTTTTCAAAGGGAAATCAGGAGTCAACCACAAAGCAGGTCTCAGACCCTTTTTGTACTCACTCTCATGTTTAGACTCACTAGTTGGTCCAATTTTCTTTTTCTTCTTACTACTTTTCTCTTTACCCTTTTTAACATCTCCTAAATCATCCCTTAGCAACTCAGATGATGACTTTTGACAATCAACTGCTTTCTGATTGCTACCTTCTGGAGCCAACTTTGAAAACTTCTTCAGAATCTTTGAATCCTCAGGATCTTTGCCTCCATCTTTTGACACTTTCTTGCTCCAACCAAGCCAACTCTTCTTCTCTTTAGTAACACCATTTGATTCAGAATTTTCATAAGTACCTCCTGCACCATTTTCTTGGCAATCAAATGTCCCATGTTCCTCATCTTCAACAAAGCCACCTGAATTTCCCATCTGGAGAGCTGAATCTAATTGCATTCTTTCCTCTGCGGTCAATACATCATCATACTCATCATTGTCAGGACCATTTGCCAACCTCTCATCATCCTCTGCAGCAAATAGTTCCTCATCAGTCATTGCACCAGGAACCCGCCTGGATTTTACACTCACCATCACATGAAGCATATCATAGACCTTGGCTTTCCAACTTCCTACCATTTCAGTCCTCTCTTGTCGCCTCCAATTCAAGTGGGGAACAAGCTCAGCTTGGGTAACATCAATTCCTGGTCTATACATGTTAGTCTGAGACATCATAGCTACTTCATGAGCAACCTCAGCCTCTGTGGGCTGAACCCCTGCTCCCTCCAGAGCGTTGGTGATTTCTTTTTCTTTGTGAGCAAGGACAACCAAAGAACCAGGAGGTAAAGATATATTACCATCATCTGAAGAATAGCCTTCACCAAGGAACAGAAAGGTCTGATCAGACCGCTGAATGCGAAATCCATCAAAACCAGCAAGGGTCATATCAGCACGTAGATTGGAACCACGCTTCCAAATGCGATAAGTATCAGATGGGGCAATGCGACCAATAAAAGGGATGACAGAGCTCTCGAAGTGGAAAGTTATCTCCATATAGAAATCATGAATACGAGCAGCGGAGGAGACAATGCGCGGCAGCCGGCGGCACCATTTGGCCCAGGCAAGAGGCTGGTAGTGCCGAGCAATGATCATGGCAATGGAGTCTTCACGGCTGCAAACAGCTTCTTGGAGAGCACTCCATCCATTCTCATTCTGGAGGCTCCAGTCGGCACCAGCTGCCATCAGGATCTCGGCAGAGATGGGATCACGGAGGCGGACAGCAAGGTGGAGTGGGGTCTCACGGCCAGGTACATCACGGCGATCAATGGCAGCAGAGACAACATCAGCCTGGAGCTCGGCGGCAAGAGATTCGACCTCGGTGGTGACCTCACCGGCTTTTGGGAGACGTGGGAGGGAAGCTACAATGCGTTTGAGGGCGGCATGGTCACGACGAGCAACTGCCAAGTGAGCAGGACTGTGTGCATACTTGGACAAATCCTCCATGATTTTTGTCCCCTAGTCTCTAAGCTACGGTTCCTTTCATTTTTGCTGGATTTGCATCTCAGATGCTTCTAAGGATCAATACAAATTGCTGAAATTTAATTCATCTTTTTCTCCTACTCGAGTTTCTCAAGCATTTATAGGTTTTAGTCCACTACAAATAAACCTAAAACACTAGCACAGCTAGAACGTCTCCCCTTAAAATGTATGTTCGAATTACCACCTTCTGCAATCACCTTTAACTTCTCTGTTAACCCTTGATCGCTTCCAATGGCTAAATCAGTCCACAATGGAGAGCCCAAATCACCATACAAACACTAAAACTGAAGAGATAACAATAGTTACCTAAAATTGGAATTCAAGCTACCATACATTCTGTTTCGCCCTTGCATCTTCTCCATTGCACTAATTTCTGATTTTGCAGGCTCGTAACACTTCCAGTACCTGAAACACACCACAAGTCACCTGAGATACTTCATCTGAACTTTCTTAATTTGAAGTTTCGGATCTACGACCTAAATTTCAACAATTTTTATGAAGCTGGAACTCTGCACTTCTGAAGCATCAAATAAAAACCTAAAATTCAAACTGTTAAACGGTACCTGAAATCTGAGCCCTATCAAACCCCTCTGCTTGCGTCTCCGTTCTCCAAATGAACTTTCCGAGAGACACGCGAAGAAGTTCTTGTACCAGATTTTCCGAGTTAGGATCGGCTCTCGATCTTCGATCGGATTCCACCACTAGTGCTGACAGACCGGACTCGACCGCTAGGACTCGACCCCACACATGACACAGGTCACTCACTGTGTGCAGCACAGCGCTCTCTCTCTCTCTACACCATTTCCTTTCCTGTACTTGTTTCTTTCTTAGAGAGAGAATAATTAAATACCCCTCATTTCATGTAAAATTTCGAAAATGCCATTGTTACTCATTTCCGTTATCGTAACCAGAAACGTCAAAACGTCAGGCAATTAAAGTTCAAACATCGTCGGTTTAATGCAACGTAAGCCTCTGCAGTTAAAACCGTAAAAGCAATAGAGAGAACCGCCGACAATGTTACCTTCCCAAATCCCAACAAGACGGGCTTTACGGCCTCTAGTGGGCCCATTGAACTTTCGGCCCGCACTGGCCCACCGTACATATTCCAAATACAGTCTGGACGGACCCACAGTTCGAAAATTCAAAAATCCATGAGATTCAATGGCAAGCCGTTTGATGTAAGATCAACATCAAGGGATCCTGGGTTGCCAAGATCATTGCCATCAATCACCAGAATTTTTGGGTTCCGACCCGATAAAGTGGGCCCCACAATGTACTGAACAATAAAACCCCCAAATTAAAAACGATACCGAAATAATCCAATGTTTGATAGTCAACTAGAATACACACCATCAAGCCCGTGAGCCCACTAGATCGTTGGATACATTTTGCTCCTAATCCACCAAGTGAGAGCCCATTAAATACAAAACCACCCATGTGATTGATATACTTATTAGAGAATCATCAAGGAGAGAGAGAGAGAGAGAAAAGGTGGGGGAGGGTTTGGCCATTAAGGAAAAACAGCCAAACCTCTTCTGGCTCTCATCCTTGTTTGTTTCTCTAGAATTCCCAAACTCCTCCAATCCCTACAAAGCTGTAAAATACTCAAACCTGTGTGAGATCAAATCAGAGGATTTTTCTTCTACCTTGTTTGTTAAAACAAGATTAAAAGGTGAATCTATTAAGCTACCTAGAGGCAGCTTCCCTGAATATATATTGATTAATATATTCATAGAAGGATAAACCAAATATAATTAATTTAAAAAATCTCTCTGGGTTCATCAATGGATCCATCCACTGAACCACATTTCAGGACAAATGTTACATCAAATCAGTAATTGTTTTTGTTCAGGGGCTACAGATTTGGGTCTGTTTTTTGTAACATCAAACAGGATTTGTGACTGATTTAGCCCTTTACTCACATTGTTTGATTTGGATTTTTTTCTAATTCCTCAATCTGAGTGTCTCTCAGTCCCTCACCACCCTTACATTACTCTAATAATTACAACAACCAGCCAACTTGCCTCTTTTGCTGGTTTTGTTTTATTTTATAATTGAAAGACAGAGACTCTGTGTGTGTGATTTTTATGTTTAAATAAATTACGTTCTCTTTATCTCAGCTTCAATCAAAAAGGCTTTCCTTTTCTCACATTGATTTCTATTTTACTGGGCTTTTGGGCTGTGGATGTGGGCCCTTGTGGGCTCACTAGTGGCTAGACTATGTTCATATGTCTACCCTTTTTCCTACTCAACCACGTAGACCTCCCGGTGCCCCTTTTGCCCTACTCACTTGTCCTGCACATAACTGTCCTATGGTCCCCTCTCCCATGCTTTCCCATGTGGCCATCGCCAACAAAGTTACAATCTTTTATCATTTTCAGTGGGGTTAAAGCCACCAGACCCAGCAGACGAAATAACTGAGTGGCAGTCTTTTGACTCTTCTCTGTTAACTTGGTTGGCAGGATCCTGCCAAACATTCTCCCCCCTACTCTTTCTCAGTGTGTTTTGGGTGTTCTTTTTTTTTTTTTAATTTTTTGAGCCAAGAACCCCAATTAAATGATGGGTTGCTGGGCCATCATGGGTGTGGCCCAGCGACATGTGGGCTTCAGTGAATTTTTTGGCCATTCATGGTTCAGAACTCAAAAGATTAGATGCATGTTGTCTTGTTGTTCTCTTTTATGTAGCTAAGCCAACTGATTACAGTTTATAAACAACTGTAAGCATTTTCTTTCCTTTTTTTTTACGTTGAGCCAATGTCCTCTTAATTCATTAAGAGCTTGATAATCTATCTTAATACCATGTCCAAACCAAAGCAGGATTGGTAGTATATTATCTTTGATTCCATGAAAAGACAGTAAAGGTTGTTTCCCTGAAACTAGAAGCATGGCTACATTAGATGAGAAATTATCAAATTCCAGTAGGGTTGATCGTCAAGGCTGTGTTTGGTTTGAAGGAAAAGGTAGGGAAGGGAAGGGAAAGGTATCAAAACCTATATAAGGTTTGTAAAGGTTTCTTTACCTTTCCTTTCCTTTATTTTATATTAAAATATTGTATAAATATTATATATAAAATTATAAAAATAAACTCTTTTATTTTATAATAAAATAATAGATATAAAAATTTTAAGTTTTAAGTTTTAATTTTTAGGGGTGTTATCTCGGCTTTCTAATTGGGTTAAGTCCAATAGAATCAAATAATGGTCCAAAGTTCTCCAAACCATTTCAGAAACTGCACCAAACTGTAATAAAATGGTTTGGTTTCCATGCCAAAACAGTTTGGTCTGGTTTGGAACTTCTCTAAATTGCACCAAACCAGATCGTGAACACCCCTACCCAACGGGGATTGGGGTTAGGGATGGGGAATATGATCCTCGACTCTGTTGCCATTCTTAATTACTTTATAAAGCAGTTACTTGTCTTGGGTTCCACGTGGTTCATAAAAAAGTTAAATTCAAATACCATATATCACATATGGATAATACTTATTTACACACATGTATAGAACATGCTCTTACACTAGTGTTATATAGATCAAGATGTTGACAATTAAGAAACAATAAGTAAAACAAATGAATGCGGCAGAAATGTAAATACTTTAGATGGATGAATAATAAAACTAAAAAGGCTAGGATTAGAAATGAAGTTTAGGCCAAAAAACTTATAAATAGCTCTAATAGGTGATAAAACAAGATATAGGAAATTGAGATGGTTTGGTCGCCTACATAAAAAATCACCTACAACACCTATGAGGAAAAGTGTTATATTACAAGGTGAAAGGGCTAGAAAAGCTAGAGATATACCAAAAAAGGACTTGATTGGAAGTAAAAAGAAATTATTTAAGTGCCTATGCTTTAATGATGAATGATATGACATTGAACAAAAAGGAACACCAAAACAGGACTCATGCAGCTGACCTCATATAGTTGGGTCAAGGGCCACAAGACCACAAGGCTTAGATGATGTATGTATGTATGTATAAATAAGACATGTATATATGGTATGATATTAATAAATTTTTGGATATATCTTTTTTAATTTTGAAAAAAAAWTTAAGTTTAATTTTTTAAAAAAAGTATAATATCATTAATTCATGTGGGTCGAATAGGCTTTAAGGCCGTTAATATCATTTATTCATGTGGGTCACCCCTAAATTCCAACATGGGTTTGATTTAAGCAAAAGCAAAATTATCATATTCATTAATGAAATCTCTATACATGAATGGGCTTTGGGGTCAAACTAAAAGGCTATTTACCTAATGCTGGCCACGGTTATATAGGGCTTTTGGGAGGAGTTGAGTGGATACAGACCTAACCTCTAGTTTTGGTTTTTTTAGGGGCTGAAAAATGGTATCCGATTGTTCCAATTCGAATTCAAATTGGATCTCATTTAGGGGTGACCCGAATTCAATCTGTTGGCAATCCAAATTCTATAAAAATCCAATGGATATGATCTTAAATATTGAAAGAATCAAATTTATATCTGCCTATATCTGATTCGATGTGATGCCTTTGCAACCTCATGCAAATGGCTGTTCTCATACTCAAGCCCAATTTCTCATTCTTATCAGGATTTTAATATTGCACCAAGCAATGGTCCTCCTCATCAAATCAAACTACTTGTCCTAATGTGGACATTTTAAGGCTGTCTATTCAATCTAGGGTTCCAAGAGATTAGCAACAAAAGAATGAAACAATCCAATCAATGCTATTCAGAGGGAAATTATGCAAATCTTCATTTGGGACAGCCCTATAGATAGAGCATTTTCATAGACTACATATATAGATTAGCTAGGGCATAACTAGCAAGGCTAGGTGTAGTGACATCCATTGGTGATTGGGAGAAATAAGGAAGTAAAGTTGCTAGAAAGATGTGACTTGCTCCCCCCAAAATTAATGAAACCAAAGGAAAGAAGAAAGAAGATAAAAAAAATAAAAAACTTCAGCTTCAAAAATCAATCTTCCTAACATGGCTGTTGGACATTACTTTAGGTACTATTATGCTTGACAAGACATACCATGTTTGTATTTATGGGTGACCCTTCATTATGTCCTCTCTCTCTCTCTCTCTAATATATAGTGAAACTTTAATTTCCTTTAATAATGGTATTTATTTATTTATTTTTCTTGTTAAACATCACACGTGCAGATTATTTGTCCAATTATTCAATAAAAGACAAGGTAATCTTGTTTTTGTTTGCTTAAGTGGATGTGACACTTAAGATAAAAAAATATATATTAGGAGAAAACAAAACTAAAAAAAAGGAAAATGTTATGATCTTTGAATATTGAATATATGTAAATTCAAGAATTTATTTGACAAAAATAACCATGGTTGTAAGGCCCCTTTTATTTTCTAGTATCTAATTTTCAGACAGACAAAAGCCAGCTTAATTGGGTGGTGAAACCGTTTATTTTATGGCATTCATTTGGATTCTTTTAGGATAAAAACAGTTTTTGCTAAAGTTCAAAAGAGTTCTAGAAAATTTGTACATAGTAGTTGCAGAATGGGAATCAAATAGCAGAGTACTGGAGCTGGGCCATCTTTTTGATCCAGCATAGGTCTGTGAGCAGGAAGTTCCTTCCATCCTTGCTAGGATTATTTGTGGTGGTAGTTTAGGGCCAGCTACCCCTTATCTATTTGCAGCTTTGCTTCTCTTGTTTTCATCCTAAAAGATAAGTGTATATATTAGAGCTTTCAAGTCATCTGATCACATTGAGTTCTAGGACAGGCAAT